TTTGCTAAAATATTTGTTTTTGGACATTAAATGCGCCTTTTGTAGAATTTTAAACCTACATATAAAGTGTATTTTTATGATAGCAGTAACTGTAAGTGGACTATTGTAATGGGTAAATCAAATGTAAGCTAGTAGGCTGCTACAGTACTAATTACTAAGCTCAAATGAGTTCATGTGTGTTTCTTATAGCAGTTCAAATGTAGTCGTTTTCTTTATTATTTATTTTTATTTTTAATTTAGTTATTTTAATGCTTTAAAGAGCAATTTTACATTGTAATGTTCTAATGTTCTGCTATCTGTTCTGCTATAACTATAAAAGGTACAGCTGTCATAAAACCAGAGAGAAAGGCTGCATGGCTAGAAACAAATAGAAAAGTCAAATAGCCTAATAGTATGTGAGACAGTGGTAATATCATTGTGTTGCTGTTGGTCAGTGTTAGAGGAGCTTAGCCTGACAGTTAGCCTGCTTTAGACCAGGTTAGTTTCCCAGCATAAGTTGCCACAGTGACTAAGGTTGATCTATGTTAAATTTGCTTTATGGAACCAAATCATTTGACAATGAGTCAGACTAACTGAAATAAGCCTGGCTTATTTGGTAAACTTGTTTTATGAAACAGGCCTCGAGGCATTAAAAGTGATATTTTCTCCATTGCATCGAATCGCATTGTGTTGAATCTAATCGAAATCGTATCGCGCTGCATCGTCATGGGGTGAATCGTATCGCATCGCATCGGTAGCTGCTTCATATGTATCTTTAATGTATCGTATTGTTGGCTATGCATCGAGATGCGTATCGTATCGGCCTCAGCCATGAGATGCACATCCCTAATAGTGAGCTCATTTTAGACTAGAAAGTACATATAAATTCAAGTTATAAAAAATAGAATTGTACATCCAAATGTGTTTTCTAAAGTTGTTTTGTCGTTGTTAATGCACTTTTATAAAAACAACAACTCAGAGACCAACAAATCTGAGCGTCATGCATAACTGACAAAGTCTTATTATGTGATGCATATTTTGTGTAGCTGGCACTATTGACCAGCATTGGCGGGCAGTATAATAGACTTTATGCATGTGTTTTAGGTTCATTTTTGTACGATTTTTGGAAGATGGAGAGACAAATCTGTACTTATTTCAGAAAGTATTGATGATAGTGATATGAAAGCATCAGAAAATCAGGTTGTAGTAATAAAACAAGTTGTTGAGGACCAAGGAGGATAGAAGCAATGAGGGTGAGGGCAGTGATGAAGAATAGGTTGTTGTGGAAGTCAGGCATTTGGGTACATTATTGTATGCCAGTTTGAAAGATGTGATCCATACAACAACCAGAGGTCAGGAAAGATGCCAATGTCTATTGGCATTACTATACTGACAGGCAGCGATGCTCCAATGATGACTGCACAAGTCAACATCTACTTATATGTGGGACGTGTGGGGTACACTGAAAAAGAAGAGTCTTGTTGACTTTCACTTGTGCTACAATAATTGATTTGAAATTCCAAGATGAAACGCAATGTTAAAATTGTTTTAATGCTTCTGAAACACTAAGACATGGTTTTCAGGCAGTAAAATTGCATCCGAATTTGTGTCAAGTTTTAGACATTTTCACGCGTGAGTTCCAAATCAAATATAGCAGCACAAGAAAAAAATTGAATGTTCATAAAGTTTTTTTTTTTTTTTTTTTTTTTTGAAACAAGAAAATTTTTTTTTTTTTTTTTAAATATAGTCAAGTAGCGTTTAAAGAGATGAGTTTTCAGCTGTCGCTTGAAATTGTCAGGGATTCAGCATTCCGGATAGGGGTGGGAAGATCATTCCACCAGCCAGGAACGGTGAATGAGAATGTTC